TCATTCATTCTGTTATCTTCATCTTGCATCTAACATTTAGTTTACTTTCTAGCATATACACACGTACTTATATCGCCTAGGCCACATCCTAGACTGTTCTGTAGTCCGGTCCAATCGATTTCGAGCACCATCACGTTATATTATCTATTGATATCAAAAAAAACAAAATTCTAATTTTTGAGGAAAAAAATAGTAGTGAGTATAAATATATCAAAAAACCTAATTCAACACTCATTTGCAAACAATTATACTGTCTATTGGAATAAAACTAGAAAATCAAACAAGGGGTTAAACTATAATTGATACAATATTTTCTATTTTTAATTGGAGTAATTTAGTCATTTAATAGACTTCATTAGTTATATAACTAATAAGAGATCTAAGTGTAATATTTTAAATTTGAGAGGTTTAAGTGTTATACGCCTACAAATTTTTAAGTGTTATGCGCGTACAAATTTCAAGGGATCTATATGTAATATCACAAATATTATGGATCTAAGTGACTAAGGTGTAATGTTCTCTTATTATTATTATTTTTTAAAATTTATAATGTGAGTCACAGAGAACATGTGAATGAGTTGTTTTCTTAGATCGATCAGTGACATAAGGCATGCATTGTTGATCCGCTTACACTGTCCTTGCCACTCTTGTGTCAATGGAACTGTCCTAGTTTAGTTTTTCTTTGATAACAATCTTAGAAAACAAAAACACATAATACTTTATAAAGTATTAGAAAGCATTTTTTTTGGAATAGAGATTATACTTCACTTTAGTCTATGCATTTGGAGTCATGTATAAAACGAGCTGACTAAATCAGTGGAATTCATGCCTGCATTTTCATCTTTAATATGTTTATGGTCATGATCAGGATGAACTTTTGGACCAGGGTAGATGACTTTGAGGCCAGTGGCGGAGGCAAACTGGGGTCAGGAGGGGCCGAAGCCACCCTAATTTTTTTTATGTTTATTTATTTATTTATATTTTGTGTATTTTTTTTAATATCTTCAATTGTGATGACTTTAAATAAATAAAATTGGGTTTATTGGGATAACATATCTCTTGGTTAATGGACTAGAATAAAAATAAAATGGGCTATACAATTTCTTGGAGTCAACAATAACAAAAAGAAATTGAATAAGGAAAAGTCTGGTCCACTCAATTTTCAAGTTCTCTCTAAAAACACTAAAAGCAAATAAAGTATCAGTAATCAGTGAAGTATTGCACGTCAGAGCCTTCAAACTTTGGTATTTATATGACTAGTTTGTCTCTTTGACATTGATATTATGATCGTATCTCTCATATAATTAATCTCATTTTTTTTGTAAAAAATTATAATTAACTTTTTTTTAGTTATTTTTTTTGTTTGTATGGATGCTGTATACTTGTATAATCAGTTTTTAAGTATCAAATGTTATGTAAAAAATAAAAATATATCCCCTTATTTTTATCTATTAGAGGAAAAAAATAAAATTTATAGTTAAATTGTGTACACCTTCGTCATTGTTCGAGCCCCTCTTTCTTCATCCTTGTGGCATAAACCATAGCCCGGACAGTGCTCCTTCATTCTCAAGCTCAAATGAGGTATTCTCTCTGACAGTTCAAAGGCCACCTTGGCATTCAGGGTTGGTTTCTCTCTCATTAGTTCGGAGATTAAGGAGGCAATAACTATATTTGTCCATTCGATCCGGCAGTTACTTTCTTGGTTCATTCTTCATGTCCATGTATTCCATAGTTGATCTGACGGAGCTAGAACTTGAACTTAGAGGGGGCGAAACATCAATCAGGGCAGGTTCAACCATTCGATCGATAAAGCCAGAGTTTTATGCCCCACTTCAAAAAAGGTTTCATAATTTATAGGTGTGTATTAATAACTTATATAAAAAATCTAAATTAGTAAAAAAATAGGCCCCACAAAAAAATTATATTTAAACCGAACCAAAATATTTTAATTTGAGTAAATTGAGCCTATTAATTCAGCCCATGAAATTAAAACTCTTAATATTCAATTTTTTGATAAAAAGAACAAAGTTAATAGTTAAATTAAAATTACTAAAAAATTACGTCCGTAACTTTTCAAAAAAGGTTAAGTTCAAATTTACCAGCATAATTTCTCAATCATTATCTCCCTACCTCCTCCTCTCTCTCTCTTACCATTAAGTTTAAATATGGTAACAAAATCTTGAATATAAAAATTAAATTTGTTATAAGTATTAAAAATAAAAAAAGATCTCATTTATTTTTTCCGCTTTAAGCCCCAAAATATCTCGGGCAGCTCCAGACATCAATTTACATAAAACTATGAGTTTTTCAAAATGAGAAATATAATAAGATTCAATACTAAATTAGTAAACATATTAATCCTAAAATTAATATCAATCATTTATCAAAACAGACCACATTTTTCTTCTAAATCTCAAAAATCGTTTACAATTGATCATATATTAGGATACTTACAAACTTTCTTTCAATATATACAATTAAGAGTCTTTGACAATGTGCCCATCATTTTATTACAATGTCTAGTTAAGATCATCCTCCACCTTACTCCGAAACTAATTCTTTAGAAACAAGAAAAAATGCACTTTTGGGTAGGACGCTTTATTATTTGATTATGATTGTTTTTATTAGGTTACGAATCACTAACGTATTAAAAAATTAAGAGAAATTTTGTAAACTTTTAAATGCAATGAAAAAGTGGGATTTATCTTTGATCAATACATTTAAGGGTTAGGACATTTCAGTGATTTCACAGTTAGCTCATATTGTACAAAAAAAAAAAAAAACATATGACTTATTTCATTAGGAGAGCTATTAATGGACCACTAGGATACTTAAAAAATGGACTAGGTCATTATGCAAATGTTCAAAAATCAGAGGGGGCAATCTGTAAGATTGGAGAAAATCATGATTGTTGTAACAAGATATAACTAGGAGCTACTAAGGGGTTGTTAGATAAAATACTAATGCTGTTGGGACATAAGGGTTTGGCGAGATGGGTTTAGAGAAAATAGTTCAAACGGTCTCCAAATTTTATGTTTGAATTGAAAATTCAATCATGACTTTCCAAACTTGACTCGTAATTGGTCCAAATATTAAACTCATGATCATGTGTATCGTCAAACCTAGAGGGGGTGGGTTTGAGAAGATGAGTTAAGGGGTTAAGGATGCAAATAATAATTGTACCCCTTAACATGAGTATGAATTGGATTGATTAAAAATAAAATAGTTATTTATAGGACAAATAGTTGTGAATAATTATGATATATTGGTGATTCCTAAATGTGTATATGTTGCATACCTAACAGGGGAATAAACCAAATTCAATATCGAATCTCATATTTGTAAAGAGGGATTTAAATTTGAAAAGATTTGAAGAAATCAATTCAAACACTCCCAAAAATCCATCCATACCAGCCCTAAAAGTCCAGTGGGGGCAAGTGTCCCGCCTCTCTTCAATGTGGCTTCACCACTGGTTGATCAACTTGTTGACTTGAGTCTCTTTTATCATTTTGCAGCAGATACATGGGTCAGGCCTGCATTTTTTATGGGTTGGAGACGCAGGCAGAATCGGAAAAGATGATGAATCACTCTTCTTCACTGGATGCATGCGAGAATGCTGGACTTGATGCCACTGCACTGCTGTTGTCTTTGTCTGTACTTATAGGAATCAATCAAGGGACTGCACAACACTAGCTGATATCTTTTTTTTTTTGATAATAACACTAGCTGATATCTGTTCCAACAATTAGGGAGAGAATTGCTTCACTGACAACTATAAGGTGCTCGAACATCTGAGTTCAACAGTACTTGAAAGTGTGTTAATCAAGTAATGTCATATAATGTTCTGTGTGTTTTTTGGACTTGTAAAAAATATTAATTAATAATAATCCAATAATCCATTTAATTATCCGGATGTTTGGGACTAACCCAAATAATTATCAGCTATATGTGTGTATTAGGTCCATATGCAGAAGATAACTCGTTTTTAGCTGGAGTTAATCAGGAGGGGTGGGAACGTAGGGATGGGTTATGGGTGTGACTGAAGGGTGGGTGGGAGGTCAGAGGTGGCTTGGGGAGAAGATAAGAAGACGTTTTGGGTTTTGGGCTCCTGGTGGGGTTGGAGTCCAAGGAACCACTTTGGGTTGAGTAGGAAATGTTTTGGTGGAGTAAATATTCTACGCCGTTACACCACTTTATCATTATCACGTAGTGTCACTGCTTGTTGCTTTATAATTGGATGGTGTAGGTGATGACATAGTGTCACTGTTGTATTGAATATTTTCTTCTTTTGGTCAAAGGATAAAATTGAATTTTTTTTTGTAATTTTTGTCAACTTAGTTGAATGCCATTAAATCGAGACTGATTGTAACTAGTGTAAACTTCATGAATAATTTCATTAATTACCCCTAAAATAAATTCTAAAATAAATAATGGGATGCTGCACGGAGCTACTGTGGGTTTCATTAGAATGTGAAATCAGCCATGGTTGAGGTATGTTGGATCATTAATTTTGCAGTTTTGTGTAGATAATTTTTGTCACGTTGTCAATTCTCTGTTACATTTCTTACTAAAATGCTTAGAAATTCTAGCGCACGAATTGTAAGCTGACACACCAGATTTAATGGATTAGTTATCTTCACCATTGGGAACGAACCCTTCAAAATAAAATTGGACAATCTATTTTCCCTGCAGAAGGTTGCTAGCATCATTATGTGCTAATCCCGCTCAGAGAGTCATAGGTTTTTTTTTTTTTTTTTTAAATCACATAATCGTCCAACGAAAAATGTAAGCATACAAGAACTCATTCCAAACATCAGGAACTCCAGGAAGGCACCAATGTATACAATCTGCATAACTAGGAGGGTTAGATGCTTGCTCTTCAGTTAGAGGCTGCCATTGCTTCCTGTAGATTGATGGGTGGCCTTCTTTCCGGTACTCGGAAAGTTGTGTTATGTTGATCAATTGTACCTCTGAACCTCTTGTTTTCAGTTCATCAATGGTTGACTCCACTATTCTCATCATTTTGGGGTCTGTTCCCTTCCCCCGATAACCCTCTTTCCAAATTGGTTCTGCTTCATTGTAGCAGTTTTGGCCCTCAGCTTCCCCCCATTCTTCAGCCCTGCAATGTCATAAAGTAAACAATCAATGCCCTATGATCATCATAGCCAGTGTTGAAAGTCTCTGACCTTGGTTATCAGTATCATTACCGTTCATGAATTGGTGATATAGACATGAAGAACAGTTGGGTCTTGTTAGGGTTGACATGAAATTCCAACCAATCTGACCATGTTCTTAGAGCCATCTCATAGCTACGACGCATCTTGACTTCTTTATAGATTCCATCGGAGCTTTCGAATGAACCCCACCTGACCAACATCGTAATTAGCACTTAATAGTACAACAACATTATTATTCAGTGCAAAACAAAACTCTTCGTGGTTAAATATTGTCGATTCAGTCACAGGATACTTACAGAACCTTCAAGTGGGGTCGTCTCCACCAAAGATAGGAATTAAAGACCAGTATATCTGCATCAGTCCAATGCCTAGCATGCTTTTCAATAGAATGGGCTCTGACAATTCGATCTGGTAATCGATGGTTCACCGGATCATCCGAGTTGGATTCCACTAGCAATGGAGCCCAATAGTACTCAATTGTAGCATTGTATTCCTTCATTACATCAACCAACATTAAGTGATCACAATTGAATCTATAACTATCAAAAAAGCTCATCAAGAAGTCCCCCGTACCCCCCCCCCCCAACAAAAAAATAAATAAATAAATCTTGATTCACCATGGCCTTAAAGGTGATCAAGGAGCCATTGTCATGGATGGATTTGAATCCAGAAGGGATTGCTGCCTCAACTAGGCAGACCATCGAAACCCATTGTCCTCTGTTAAGCGAATCCCCGACGAATACAAGCCTTTTATTCCTTAGTCTTTCGAGCAATGCTGTGGCATTGAACCTTATTAAGATAGAAAAAACATTCAACCAATCTTAAAAAACGTAAGCCATTAATGAACCTTATTCATTTTGATTGAGAGAGAAAGAGAGAGAGAGACCTTGGAAGGTCACAATGATGAGGTTGCCACCTCCAATGCTGATAGCTCAAGTCCTTTCTTCCAAACTTCTGACAAGCCAACTGATCGGACATGAAAGTGCATTCCTGCTCTTTGTATAGAGGGTAAGACTTGTTATCAAATACCCATTTGCCTGAAAACAAATTGCACGCGGACAATGAGTCATTGGAAATTTTGCCGGTCTCCGGATCTTCTAGTAACTGCTCACTCTTTCCGGTCAAATAAACAGCTCCGATGACTAAAACGGTAACAAGAAGGGCAACAAGGGACTGAAAGCTGCACCTGATATACCATGTTCCGGGAACCACAACTTGGTTTGTTTTCGCCATATAGTTTCTGTTGTGCATTCTATGATCGACCTGTGGTTTATCCTTTTTTTGAACTTTCTAGTGGTTGGTGAGAATTATCTTTCATGATTTGTTATGATGAATCAGGAGTGAGTGGAGCAGACTTAAGGATGGTTTTGGGTGCAAGCAATAGTCAAGTTGTTGAATGTTCGAACATGGCTTTCAGTTGACCAAAATTCCAGGACATATAATTTTCATATGTTAGGTGCCTCTTTTGTATTATTTGAATGTACGGCATCGAAGGCTCACACTGGTTCTTTTTTCTATTGGTAACAAATAAGCTGTTATACAGTGGTATTAACCAACAAAGTACTAAAAAAAAAGTTATACAGTGGTATTAGGTTGAGGTTGTTGGGGGTAGTTGATAATGCGAAACCATAAGTTTTTCCAATCTCTCTCTCTCTCAGACTCAAACACACACACACACAAATTTGAAATAGAAAGTGTCAACGTCTGAACCCTTATAGGATCACAGGAAAGGATTGTGACAACCTGGTCCGGACAAAAATAAGATAAATAAAATAATAAATGAACACAAATTAATTTTTGGGGTCAAGTTGTAATATTAAAAGTTAAGATGCAAGCTAGTATCATTAAGAAGACTCAGATAAAAAAAGTTGTTCCATGGCAATTGGATCATATTGATATAATAGAGTACACGATCTACAGAAGGAGAAGATGAGCTATGACCTACAAAACGGAAACGTCGGGTAACACTCACAAGGGAGGGGAGAGAGAGAGAAGCAAGATCCGGTTCAATGAAATTTCAGAGTATTGTGCTTGACATCAACATCTTTACATGAATTGAATCGATTATTGATTAGTTATTTGAGATTATTCATAATACACATCTGTTATAAACCTCTATATAAAAAGTATTTTGCATGAATATCTTAATATTGAATTCAAATTGATTGTGTCGTAAGTACTCTGAAAATCCCATGAATTTCTTTGAGCAAATTGTGTTGATTGTGTTCCCAATTAATTATTTTATAATTGATCACTTAAGTACCCGCTCTTGAACATTAATGTTCTTTTTGTGTTTTTGATTCAAATATTATTGGGCTAAATTAGTTATTGGTAGATTAATATCTAGTACATAGGATTGATATTACAGACAAATACACCCTCACAGTGAAGCAATCTACTTGGTTATGAAACTCTTATCATTTCCGCCTTCAATATCCATTAATCATGAACAGTTTGAAAATTTTCCGTAAGTAACATTAAGTGTATATTTGAGAAGACAGCTTCGGGCTATTGGAAATTTATGGGCTTCCCCATGAGAGTGTTGAAATAATTTTGGGCCTCTGGCCTGCTGTCTGATCGATTTCTCAAACGACATTGGGCTTGATGATGAATAAAACTGTCAAATAAGTGGAAACTTATTTTTGGGTTAATATTATTTTTATCTTTAAAGTATATTTATTTTGTCAGTTTGGTACCTCTAAAGTTCACTTTGGTCCCTAATCATAGAGTTCATTAAGTTTTTTAACGGAAGTGACTACGTATTATGCTCTTAGACTACCAAGTATCACATGATTAACATGTTATCATTCTGTCAAAATTTAATGGTATATCTGTGTAAGGACCATTTAAATACGAATTGATATTTTAAAAATCAAATTGACAAAAAATCAAAACTTTAAGAACTAAACTAATAAAATGTGTATACTTTCGGGACCAAAATTTCAATAACCCCTTATTTTTCTTCTTTTTGATGATAAATTGATATACATAAATAACACTTCATCTGGTGAAAACTTTGTTTTTTTTTATTGCCCCTTTCTAAAACTCAAGATGAATGGTTGTTTTTTCTCCCTTTTAACACCTTAAATCGTGCGGACACCTGATTGGTCAAACGACGACTACTTCACTTACTAGATTAATATTAGTCACCTATCCCAGAATGGGATGAAATAGAAAGAACGCGAAGTGTTAGCGCTATAGGATCGATTTTTTTTTTGTTTGGGGAAGGGAGGCATGAGCTTCTGAAAAAGCACGCTTATCCCCATCCCCCGATCGACAGTTACTGTGTGTAAGGTCGATTGTCCTTTTTTTTAATTTTAAATGTAAATCCAAATGTGAAATTTTATTGTGATTGCAAAAAAGTAGGAAAATTGTACAAAGAATGAAAATATTTTACCTTCCAAAAAAAAATTATGAAAATTGATGGGCCCGGCCCATGACCCAACCAAGTTGTGGGCCCAACTTGAATAAAGGACCCACCTAGAGGAAATTCAATGGGTCCAACCCAAAAGAGATCCACGCCTAGTCAGGCTCTAAGAGCCACGTCATCAAGAAGTAGGCAACGCCATCCCAATAGCCTCATCCACACCACCTTGGAGTAAGGAACAAGGAATCAACAACGCCATCCTAAGACTTGGTCTTCAGGAGATCCCCATAACAATCTCATCTGTTGTGAAGATGACGCCACCTCCACCAAATTAATTTTTTAGTTACTGATAAGTCACTTCAATCTGTTAGAAGGCAACTACAAAATGTAAGCCTCACCTATACATGGGGGGCATCTCACACAAGGTATCACATCTGGCATCACTCTCATATCTTTCGCATCTTGTATCTCACCTAAGCTCTCATTGCTCCTACCTGAGCTCTCATTATTCGCACTTGATCTCTTATTGTTCTCACCTGATCTCCTTACACTCCTACGATAATAAAACACCTAGGTCATCCTAGCCTTTCACAATGGAGTAGGTCACCTTGACCGAACCATTTAAATTGTGTGTTGCTTGTGTTGAGTTTTTTTCTCCCTATTTTATTTCCTACATTAATTACTTGATAGGTGGTGTGCAAAATTAATTTGTGTATAATCAGTTTGACGTCGTCTGTAGGAAGCGACTTGATTCTCTCGTCATAGTTTTACTACCTCCGATGGCAAGAACAATCAGATCCATAAACTACCAAGCAGAAGATGATGTGAAGACCCTGGTCCATTACCGGACCCCTGTCTTCCAAGGGCATTCCTCCCATTACCGGGATATCCCGCCCTCCACCAAAGGATTTCGGCTAACCTGTGGGTCAAACCCCCACAGTAGCCTTTACCTCTGTCCCACATCGGGGAAAGAGTCGTCTCCCCACCCCCATATAAGCCGAAGCACCATATGAGAGCAGTACCCAAGTAGCACACTGTGGTAGATGGGTACTGCTCTCATATGGTGCTTCGGCTTATATGGGGGTGGGGAGACGACTCTTTCCCCGATGTGGGACAGAGGTAAAGGCTACTGTGGGGTTTGACCCACAGGTTAGCCGAAATCCTTTGGTGGAGGGTGGTGATATCCCGGTAATGGGAGGTTAACCCTTGGAAGACAGGGTCTCGGTAATGGGGCAGGGTCTTCACATAAAAGGCGCCTTTTATGTGAAGACCCTGCCCCATTACCAGGACCCTGTCTTCCAAGGGTTAACCTCCCATTACCGGGATATCACCACCCTCCACCAAAGGATTTCGGCTAACCTGTGGGTCAAACCCCCACAGTAGCCTTTACCTCTGTCCCACATCGGGAAAGAGTCGTCTCCCCACCCCCATATAAGCCGAAGCACCATATGAGAGCAGTGTGCTACTAGGGTACTGCTCTCATATGGTGCTTCGGCTTATATGGGGGTGGGGGAGACGACTCTTTCCCCGATGTGGGACAGAGGTAAAGGCTACTGTGGGGGGTTTGACCCACAGGTTAGCCGAAATCCTTTGGTGGAGGGTGGTGATATCCCGGTAATGGGAGGTTAACCCTTGGAAGACAGGGTCCCGGTAATGGGGCAGGGTCTTCACATAAAGTGTGTGGTACTTGGGTACTGCTCTCATATGGTGCTTCGGCTTATATGGGGGTGGGGAGACGACTCTTTCCCCGATGTGGGACAGAGGTAAAGGCTACTGTGGGGGTTTGCCCCGCAGGTTAGCCGAAATCCTTTGGTGGAGGGTGGTGATATCCCGGTAATGGGAGGTTAACCCTTGGAAGACAGGGTCCCGGTAATGGGACAGGGTCTTCACATAAAAGGCGCCTTTTATGTGAAGACCCTGCCCCATTACCGGGACCCTGTCTTCCAAGGGTTAACCTCCCATTACCGGGATATCACCACCCTCCACCAAAGAATTTCGGCTAACCTGTGGGTCAAACCCCCACAGTAGCCTTTACCTCTGTCCCACATCGGGGAAAGAGTCGTCTCCCCACCCCCATATAAGCCGAAGCACCATATGAGAGCAGTACCCAAGTAGCACACTGTGGTACTTGGGTACTGCTCTCATATGGTGCTTCGGCTTATATGGGGGTGGGGAGACGACTCTTTCCCCGATGTGGGACAGAGGTAAAGGCTACTGTGGGGGTTTGACCCACAGGTTAGCCGAAATCCTTTGGTGGAGGGTGGTGATATCCGGTAATGGGAGGTTAACCCTTGGAAGACAGGGTCCCGGTAATGGGGCAGGGTCTTCACAGATGATCTCACACATCATGATGAGGTCTCACCACCACTGGCGAAAAGTACACACATGCAAAATTTACTCTTTTTTCTCACTAATTTGGGGTTAAAAACTCAAATTTCAAGAGAAAGAAGCATTTTTGGGGAAATTTGTTACCCAAACTACCTTCGACAGTTTGTATGTCGCAGATCTCAAAAAAAATACTTGAATTCAAAAAAAGAATTGCCTCAAATGGACAATCGAGCGCAAAATTACATCCTTTCAAAGTTTTGTCATTTTTCATAGTTTTTTTATACTTCGACTGGCGCCCAGCGCCCCCCTGTCGTCTCCCAAACCGGCCCTGGCATCCCCCTCTATCAACCCGCCCTAGGGCTCAGCACAATTGGCCTTGGCGTCACCCCCTTGCTCCAAGGTGTTGCCCACATCCCAACGGACAGCGCCCAGTAAACAATGCCCAACAGACAACGCCCAATGCCTGCGCCTAGCAAACAGCGCCCAACAAACAATGCCTGGTGTCTGCGCTTAGTGGGCAATCTCCAACGTCTGTACCCAGCAAACAGCGTCCA